AACACTTTTAGCCGACGATATTAGTCGCACATGCGTAAACATCTACGCCAGCGTTTACCAGTGAAAGGGATTGTGGGGATAGTGTCACTAGACTGGGACTCGGGGAGGGACGATCTAAACGCTACCCTGCTGTGATTGGTTGTATCGCTGTCAGGCAACTGCAGCCACTCCGGACATTTAAAAAGGTCGGTTTGATTGCAGCAGCTGTGTGACACGCAACCTTTGGTCAGAATTGATGGACTTCATAGCTCTGATACCTCTGGTAATGTTGGAACAGTCGCCTGAAACCCTGCATTGTAATGTCCTGGATGTTCTGATGACGTCCTTACAGAGTATTTCCCTTGGAAAATGCAGACAACACTGTGTGACAAATGCCCAGCGTTCAGTGTTTGACAACACAGACGTGCGTTCAGTTGTGGACTTTGTCCAGCTGCTTGTCTGACGTTTTGTCCAGCTGCCTCGCCTGCTGACAGGTAGCCTATGCATAGGTACAGTATACGACGTCCCTGCCCCCCCAGCACTGAAAACACAGTGACACCCCTGTGTACGGCCATCATCCCAGTAACCTATATACAGAGCTCACAGAAAGTCTTTGGACGCTTACTTAACCCTCTAAAAATGTTGCAGATTTATGGGTCTCACAGCAAACAAGCAGTGTCTAACATAACTGCACATATCCTCTGCACAGCCATTTTCTTTGTAGTAATTTAGTAATTTTTTTGACTGACTCAATTCTCTTTTTGCAGTTTTGCTATTAATTGCTCCCCAGAGGGATGCCAAAGAAAAACATTTGGTGCTTAGTGTTATTGCAAAGGTTTTACTAATTAAAAAGCACCCAATGAGACGGCTCGTCAATGAACTTATTAACTCGGAACAGCTCACTGCATTAACATCAATAAATAAATATCCAGTGTAATGTCAGTCAATCAGCACGTGGCAACGGTACGAGGCCTGCTGCAGCGGACCGGGTCTGACAGCAATGATCACGTCCTCACCTGCATATTCCTGTCTGTTGTGGTGTTTGACTAGAATTCCAATGTATTTGTGCAAATGGCTCATAAAGGATTTATCATTTAATTTAATCATTACCTATATCAGTTGCCTTTGAAGGTAGGCAGGGGGCGCTGCAGAGGAGCAAAGTGTCTTTCGGACTTTTGGAATGTGGATAAGAAATTCCCCTGGCCCTCCTGAGCTCGTGGGCCTCCTGAGGTCTGATCATTATGGGCTATAGCCCTGAGTATTTCGCCCCAAAGCCAATCCTCTTTCAAAAAAGAAGTAAGTGAAGCCCCAGGTAAATTTGACTCTTTTCGATAGCTGGAAACTCCCCTGGCCCAGCTCGTCTCACCGTTTGGACGATGCCACTGGAAACCTCAGTTAGCTGGAAATGTTACCCCTCCAAGCACAGTGTGTTAAGTAAATCAGGCAAGAAAATCACTTACTCACATGTGCTCGATAACAGCAGGACTGTAAACAGGAAGTTTCTGACATTTCATTAGCCCTGTAATCTTAAGGCTGAACGCCACATGAGGAACCCTGCCCCCTTCAGGACACTTGCAGCAGTGTCCTCCGTGTACATAGAGAATGCCAGTGTCTCACTGTCCCACCAGAGGTAAGCACGGGTTGAAATTTGGCCGGACATTACCCATAATGCATTTAGTGATGTCAACAGAAGACTGAGGTGGCTTTTAAAAAATCCCTCCATGATGCTGTAGACGTTCGGTTTTGATGTAGTGGACAGCAGTGGGATCACCAAAGCAGGTCGACATGTCATGTGGGGACTGAGTGCATTTGTCGCTAATGGAATCAGAAAACAGTCACTGTAACTCAAGGGACACTCGGTATCCAGGTCGTTTTAGGCTCAAAACGCCGACTGTTTTAAAAGTTTGTGTGAACAGACTAGTAAGCAGGCATAAATGAACAAAACTGACCTTATTTACTATGTGCAAGTGAAAATAAATGAGTAAACGTACAATATACAAGTACAATGAGGAGCCGGGCCGATGGTGCCTCACGCCCAAGGAGCAGGACAGCTGTACACGTGTGCAGTTTGCATCCCCGTGGTTTTGAGGGGATGCATGGCGTGAAAGCGCCTCAGGACGCGACCGCAAGCAGAACCACATGGGCAGGGAGCAGGACTGGGGTTTGGGGGGGCGGATGGTGCCTGTTGGCTTGGGACTAACGACAGGCACCAGGAAAAGACAAAAGGAAGACTGACCTCTCAGCAGGGACCATAAAAAAGAGGCGAAAGGACGAGCGGCAGGTGGAAGCAATCAGCCTGCCGGCGTCCCCTGGTCACCTGACTCCCCCAGCGAAGCGGTACCCCCCCCCGGAATGTTTCAGTATGTCCATAGCGTATTCAATACAAAGTAACTGGTACTGACATACATAGATGTAATAAATGTAATGTAATCCATGGCTATATATCTAACATAATTACCATTCCAAGCAGGAAACCTGATACGCAGCAGCGCCGATGTGTGACATACGCCGGTGCAGATATCACTTACGGCTTTTGTTGTCTTTTCACATAAAATGACAGCCTTTTTCTTTCAGCGTGTAACTTCATGATTTTCACGAAAATGAGACGTCTGCGTCCACGACGTGAGCTCGTTTAATAGCAGCGGGTTTCCATGGCGACACTCACTCTCGCCCCCCCCGCGGAGTGCCCGCGCTTCTCGCCAGCAGTTATCGATATTTAACGGCGGCTCTTATTATGTCATTCTTTATAGTCTAATGCGGCCTGTGGGTTTGCACGCGAGGCTCTGAAGTGAGGCCAGGCCGGGCGACACTCGCGTGACAGAGTGGGCCAGGGGGCGGGGCATAGCATAAGAGGCGGGGCTAAGGCTTGGAGCCACACCCACAGCCACTCGTGCTTTTCAGCAAAACTCCAGTGAATGTGGCTGATGAGGTGGAAAAGCTGCCCCGCATTGACTGACACACACCAGAGACGTGTGCTGATGGTGACAAACACGGGGACGAGGCGCGTGTCACTCCAGGGCACTCTGAGCAGACACGGAGCTGCAGAACATCACAGAGAAGCGCATTGCGGAAAGGAAGTGGTTTGTAAACATGAAAGGAGGCATCTGACCCATAAAAGTCCGTCACAGACCTGCAGATGCTGTGATGTGCTCGTAAAATGGTGCGCAGTAATTTCCTCTTGTGGGGGGGAGGGGGGCTGCATTCCTTGTGTGGAACATGGGATGAGGCCGGATTTATGCACTGACAGCGGTGAGTCGCAGCACTGATGAGGACCAGCGGCGTTTAAACGGCCGCAGCCTGAGTGGGTCTCACTCACACCGGATGTTTGTGGGGTCCGGGCCCCGAGGCTGCATGGGGGGCAGCAGGGAGCTGTATTGCGGCTGGGGGAGCTGGACGTTGGCCATCTGACACATGCCGTGGGACCTGCACCTGTATCGGGCCCCTCCGAATCACACGGCAGAGACACTTCCCAGTATTCACAGGGAGTCATGTGATCTCCCGGCTGGTGGGCTGGCCTCCCCGGCCTCCATCCTGCTACCAGGTGACATAAGGGTGTTCCAGAGCCCCGGTCATGTGATTCTGTCCGGCCAATCACAGGTGGCGCTTTTCGCATGTGTTCGGCAATAACACCAGTACATGTGCAGTCAGCGTGAGAGTGATAACCCAAACGCGGGCACACGCCCCCCCACCTCTGCCTCTCTGCTGAAGGCTCGCACCGCAGCGCAGGGGGCCTGCAGCTCCCTCCTACAGCTTATCCAAATGCTGATTCAGGGCCGCTCGCCGTCGCCCCCCCACTGGAGAAGCACTTACAGCGCTGGCTGGACATAATAAATGGCTGAAGTTTTTTTTTTTTAATGATTGCTAGTTATTCTGTATGAAAGTTACTCTGTATATTGAAATAAGGAGCATATAAAACCAGTCACACTGCAGGGTCGTTGTCATAAAAGGCAGTTACATCACTTAAAGACCATTAAAAGTTATCGCCTTGGTCTAGAATAGTTTGTGCCCGTCTCAAAAACAGAAATGTAACCACACAGCACTGCGGCATAACTGTCCACAGCACAGCGAAACATATGTGCCCTGCCGCATAACTGTCCACAGCACAGAGAAACACATGTGCACTGCCGCATAACTGTCCACAGCACAGAGAAACACATGTGCACTGCCGCATAACTGTCCACAGCACAGAGAAACACGTGCGGCCCTTAGCTTTTATCAGTCTGACCCACAGCCTGCAATTCATATAATATAAATAACCATGGAACTGACGTAAACTGATCTTTATCCATCCATCCGTCCATCTGTCCATCCATCCATCCATCCATGCACCCATCTGTCCATCCATCCATCCACCCATCTGTCCATCCATCCGTCCGTCCATCTGTCCATCTTCCCGCCACTCATCCAGTGCTGGGTTGCTACCTGCGCGTTTGGCCACTTTCCAGTCACTTGTTTAATTCAGTAACAAAACATTTCATTATCCAGTGATACAAAATCTCAAGGTCTAATAATTCGATTAACTTTCCATTATAAACTTTCATATTTCATTTTTCATTAGAAAGTCTTAGGCGACATTATTAGCTTGCCCAAAGATTTAGTGTACCTGGAATACTTTTATGAAGGAGAATTAAGAGTTTTTGAGTACAGCCGAACCTTTCCTGAACCCTGGTCTGCATTTTGCCTGTGTTGCCATTGGTTTCTGTTGCATATCAGCATGTAAATTTGCCCTTGGCAAATTTTTGATGTTTATACATGCAGTTATTCATTTTGGCCACATGTAGATTTAATAACCAAATAAACAGATTAAATCAGCCACGATGTTTGCTGAAATGATTTCAGGGAGCTTACACTTTCCTCATATATCTCACCTCACTTCTGCCAGGGGTTCGTGGGCCTTGATTTTCTGTTTACATGGCAAGATCGTTTGTTCCCATGATGGATCCATAACTGAATTGATTGCAGTTCAGCCGTCACATGTTCGGGTGAATAACCATCTTTTGGTTGTTTATCTTGGCTGGCAGCCATCCAGGAGAAAGCGGCCGGAGAGAGCGACTCTGAGCCAGCCAGGAAGGAGGCCTTGCTGGAGATGCCCACCGCCATGGAGAGCGAGATGTTACTGGAGGTACGGGGAGCACTGGCTGCTGGGTCTGGGGGTAGGGGTGGCTCCCTCTGCAGTGTGAGTGTGGTCAGTCTCTCTGCAGTGTGAGTATGGTAAGTCTCTCTGCAGTGTGAGTGTGGTAAGTCTCTCTGCAGTGTGAGTATGGTAAGTCTCAGCAGTGTGAGTCTGGTAAGTCTCTCAGCAGTGTGAGTGTGGTAAGTCTCTGCAGTGTGAGTGTGGTAAGTCTCTCAGCAGTGTGAGTCTGGTAAGTCTCTGCAGTGTGAGTGTGGTAAGTCTCTCAGCAGTGTGAGTGTGGTAAGTCTCTCAGTAGTGGTGGTGGAGCTGTCAATGAGATGCAGGATATGTGACGTAAAGGATCCCAAAATCATCATCACAGTGTAGAGACCTTCCAAAGAAAATGAGCGGTAAATGGTTAGTTCACTGCCAGGAGAAGCAGAAGGTGTGAAAATGATGTGAATGAGCATGAATTAATACAGATAGCCTCTCACTAATAATGCATTAGATCTGGTGATAAGTTAAATCATCAAGACCAACAAAGCTCAAAAATATTTGAATGATTTAATCCATCACTCACTATGAGTGAGTGAGCGTTTCTGAGCATGTGAGAGCGAGTGAGAGCACATGAGAGTGTGTGAGAGTGTGAGAGAATGCGTGAGAGTGTATGAGAGCACATGAGAGCACATGAGAGTGTGTGAGAGCGTGAAAGAGCATGTGAGAGTGTGTATGCATGCGAGCGTGTGAGAGCACTTGAGAGTGTGTGAGAGCGTGAGGGAGTATGTGAGAGTGTGTATGAGTGAGTAAGGTGTGTGAGAGCACGTGAGACCACATGAGAGTGTGTGAGAGCGTGAGAGAGTGTGTGAGAGCGTGAGAGAATGCTTGGCCCCTGCGTTGCCCTCGCTGTATAAACAATAAACAAAAGAGGTCGCAGTGACAGCAGAAGGTCGCAGGCCTCAACGCAACCGCTGCAGCTACTGCAGGCATGGCGTGACTCGGGCCCTGCGCCCATTCATCAGGCTCCCCAGGTCCCAGCAGGCGCAGGGATGCCAGCTTTACGTTATTTGGGCGAAGGCCAAGACACGCGAGGCGTGTGAAAGACGCCGTGAGGCGCCGGCCTGCTTTGATGTCCGTGTGATCCTGCCGGGACTCTGAGAAAACAGCGAGGTGGCAGGAAATGTTCAGCAAACCCACATCCTACATTTTACAACCTTTTTTTAAAAATTCTAATAATACAGTTAATCTTTTGTCACTTCCCCAATTACGCAAATAAATATTGCAAATATAGTTCAAGAAATATGTTTATACTTGTGTGTTATTATTTAGTATATTTAGCATGTAATTCTTTTTTCATATTCTAAAAACATGTTTATCCCTGGGGAAGCCAGCCCACCTTATCATTATAGGAAAAATATGTCCATTGGCTAAAATGATCATACAGACCCAGTGAAATCAAAAACAGGTGTTTTGTAAAAATAACCCTTTCCCAGTCCATGTTATGAATGTGCCATATACGACCCACTGGACTGTTCATGCTGTTCCAACTTGTTCATTTCACCTATGAAATAAGGACAGAAAAGAAGGAAAAACCAAATCTTTGCAACATTCTCATTTTCAAAATGCATTTATTGAGTTTTCCTTTTCATCAGTCACCATGTGCTGGCAATAAAACACATGCTTCAAACACGCCAACCCATCAAGAAACAGGTCAAGTGAACAGACCTGCCAAAAGGTGTACTACACACAGAGAGTTTACTTGTGGTGGGTTGTAAGGTCTGGTGCAACACCTGTATTCCCTCTGTTTTTGTCTGAGGCTGGTGTTGAACACATGGAACATGATCATCACAGTTGCCAGAAAAGTTTCAAAACATCCAAAACCTAGTTGTACATGTTCTATAACATCTAAACATTATAACTGATGATGCAAAATTTCTGCCACTTACCTATTCACAGCTTGACAGGTGAATCTTTGCAGCATGTACAGCAACAACCTCAAACGCATTGGGGGCCATATTTATTGTGGAAAAAAATCTGGTTAATTCAGTCAGTAACCACTAAATGTGACTGTTACTGGGTCGTATATGGTACAATGGGCTGTAAAGCGAAAAAAAATTCTCAAGTTTGATGAGTGGGTTGAATGTAAGGCAGACATGAAAGGAAGGGTCGTATATGACTCAGTGGGTTCCCCGGGGTTAACCCATATGTGACATAGCAGGGGGCAGCTAATTCAGCGCCCGGGGAACAGTGCTTGGGGGCGGCACCTTGCTCAGGGTACCTCAGTGGTGCCAATCTTTCAATTACAAGTACACTTCCCTAACCATTAAGCCACCACTGCCCACAAGGGTCCAGAATGTACATATGGCCGGCTATGGGACACACTCTGCTGTTTGTGTCGGCGTGTAAAAATGGAGGCCAACCTTTGCGGCTGTCTGTTACAGTCCTTGCCTGGATTCGCGCTGGTGGTCAGCACCGACGGCATGATCTTCTACGTCTCACCCACCATAGCGAAGTGCCTGGGCTTCCATCAGGTACGTCACGGTCACATGACCTCAGGCTCAGCGGGGTGAGGTCACGGTCACATGACCTCAGGCTCAGCGGGATTGTATCTGCATTACAGTGCCAGACTGTTTACGGTTTATTCCCAGTAATGGTTTGGCTAGTGATAAACATCAACCACGTAATATTCATAATATTATACATATTACAAATATTATTCTGCATATGAGAAATTTGCATTGAGCCCAATCAGGGTAATGTTTTATTTTCAAACATATGATTGCAAATCATTCCGTGAATTAGTGAATAAATACTTAGTAAAATCTGACGTGTCCATTACTGACGCATGAGAATGATCATTAAAACATTCGCCCCCCGCCCCCCCCCCCCGAACACGATGGCCCCAGTCTGGTCGACAGAGTCTAGCTTTATGGCTGAGCTCTCATTGTGTCGCTTGCTCCCATACTGATGTCATTAATCAGTACAAAACAATATGTATTTGCCACAGAGGTATTTTGTTGTTCTTCATGCCTTTGAAGTGTGTCACAGCTTCTCTGTGTTTTTGTTCCCGATGGTCCCTTATGGCTGCAGAGAGCATTTCCTCTCCGGGGCGAATTGCTATTTAGGCCGCATGTTTTCTGTTTCTGACTATGCACTCTGTGGCCGCGTGAGCTGAGAGCAGCATCTGCAAGCTCAGGATTGCTTCTGCTCTGTTAGGATGCGTTATGCTAAGTACCGACCACCTTTCAGTCACATGGTCTCTGCAGTCACATGGTCTTTTGGTCACATGGTCTCTGTAAACAGCCACTGGGATAACCTGAATGCAAAAAGACATCTTAGATAAACTCAGGTGTGACAGTATCATTGTCCTTGAAGTCAGGGGCGCCATTAAGGGGGAGGAAGTTAGGACCTTTCTGGGGGCCCTGAGTGACATAATGGAACATAACTGCATTGGCTGGGTAGGGGGCCCAATATGAAACACTTTCCTGGACCCCAAAACCTCTGCTTGGAATCATTGAAGGTTAAATACAAAATGGGTTTTGCAGTTAGGAAGACCATGTCTGAAGTATCTGATAATGATTAACAATGAAAACAATTAATTGTTTTTCAGAATTAATCGTTTAATTTTCCGATGGATGATTCAAATCTTTCAGAGCAAAGTGGATAAGAAACAAAAGAATAAATTATATTTAATGCAGCAAAGATCAGATAATGGGCCTTCCTTTGATGTTAATATGTTCAGTGGGATCCTTAAGGGTGGCATGCTGTCGTTACTGGGGATATGGCTGTGGGACCCAAAGACTCTCAGGTGGGAAACTGGAGAAAATAGACATTTCCCAGAGCAGCCAAGCAGAAGCCAAGCTGGAAAGGGGGGTTACAAAAGCCGGGAAAATGGTGGTGGTGAATTTCACCGATAGGGCCACGATGAGGAGAATAACTGTAATAACATATGTGAGCCTCCGGGGGCACGTGGGAGCAGGTCTGGCCGGTGCTGGGCCGCGCAGGGCGAGGGGAGAGCCCTCGCTGTGCCGCTCCCCATGTTTCCTGCACGTTTTTACTGTGCGTCTGGCGGGTTTAGGCCTTGGTGACTGCATGCTGGGCGCTGGCTGGACGAGTCGAGCTGGACGGGGGGGGGGGCAGAGCTGGTCAGTCAGATGCTGACGCCTCATTTCTTGGTTAGACTGACGTCATGCACCAGAATGTCTTCGATTACATCCATCTGGAGGACCGACGGGAGCTGAGGCGGCAGCTGCACTGGGCCATGAAGCCGTCACTGAAGGGCGGCCTGGAGCCGCAGCCGGCCGCGGGGGCAGGTGGGAGCCCATATTTATATGTGTGTGCATGTGTGTATTCATATGTGTGTGTGTACATATCTACGTGTGTGTGTGTGTGTGTACGCAGGTGAGGACTTCGTGGTCGGCTCCCTCTTCGGCTCCCAGGACTATGACTTCATCCCCCCCGAATTCCAGGCGTTCCTGCAGCGCTGCTTTGCCGTGCGGATGCGGTGCCTGCTGGACAGCACCTCTGGCTTCCTGGTGAGTAGGGGGCGGGGCACAGGGAGGCTCCTCCCATCTGACCACCCAACAGTGACAGCGAATCAGTGACGGCTTTGGCCACGAAAGTGCTTTGTATCTATTAATCTATTAGATCAACAAATTGAAAAAATAAGCTGTTTAAATTCTTCAGAATGTTCTTAATTAAGTAACACAAGATTTACCCTGTTTCATCATCACTGCACATCTCAGGGCACACCGATTCACCCTGTTTCATCATCACTGCACATCTCAGGGCACACCGATTCACGCTGTTTCATCATCACTGCACATCTCAGGGCACACCGATTCACGCTGTTTCATCATCACTGCACATCTCAGGGCACACTGATACACTTGATGTTGGAGCTGCACATCACAGTGTAGCGTGATTCTTGATGTTGGAGCTGCACCTCACAGTGCAGCGTGAGTCTTGATGTTGCAGCTGCACCTCACAGTGCAGCGTGATTCTTGATGTTGGAGCTGCACCTCACAGTGCAGTGTGATTCTTCATGTTTGAGCTGCACCTCACAGTGCAGTGTGATTCTTGATATTGGAGCTGCACCTCACAGTGCAGCGTGATTCTTGATGTTGGAACTGCACGTCACACACTGTCATGGGGCTCGGGTTGCATTCAGCAAAGCAATGCTCATGCTGCTTCCAGGCGGTGCAGTTCCAGGGCCGCCTGAAGCTCCTCCAGGGGCAGAAGCGGAAGACGGCCTTGGGCTCCCCCATGCCCCCCCAGCTGGCTCTCTTCTGCATGGTCACGCCCTTGCAGTTGCCTCCCATTGCTGGGGTCAAGTCCCGGAGCGCCGTGGTGAGGAGCAAACTCAGGAGTTCAGCTCTGTCTGTTCTGGAACACAGGTGAGCGCCCCCTGTGGACAGTGACTGGTGCTGCATATACACTATACATGGATTACTGTGTCCACGCTCTGAACGACTTGATGTATGATAACTCGTGGTATGTCTCCTACAGTGAGAAAAGGCTTCTAGGTGCTGGGGGTAAGGTGTTCAGCGAGGAGACACAGCTTGTAAACCACACCCCCTGGACACCTCCATCAAGGAACGAGGGCCTTTACGTCAGTGAGGAGCCCTTGAAATTTTGCAGACCTGCTGTGGATGTGCAGAAAGCTCTTGGACATGAGAGCGTGTGGAGAGCACACACATCTCCAGGGGCACTGATGCTGGGCCAGAACTGCAGCCACCTTACAAACCGGCCCGGCAAAGTGGGCCATTTCGGAAAGGCCGGGTCCTACCAGGATGATGCCCAGCTGGCCACACTGTACAATAACATGCAGACCACAGAGCAGGAGAGCTTCTGCTCAGGTGGCATTAAGGAAGAGAGCGGCTTGAGCCTGCAAGGCGAGTGTTACGGCAGCCGAATACTGCAGGACATGCCCATCAAGGTGGAGCCGGACTCGGACTCGGACACCGGCTGTGATATCTATGGGATGCCCCCCGGTGAAACGTGGATGAGCAAGGGGCTCTCGGAGCAGAACTGTGATATGGGCTACGGGCTGAGCCTTCCGATCAAGAGGGAGTATAGCTGCAGTGTTTACACACCGTGCCAGACGGCTAGAGCTGGCACCGGTGCTCCGTGTGACGGGTTCTACCAAGCAGCAAGGGGGGGGCACAGGCCGGAGAAGTGTCCTTCAGCAAAAGTGCCCCAGTTCAGTGTGCAGTGCTTTTCATACCCAGACGGCCAGGCCAGGAATGGCACGGGGAGTCACCTTTACGGCAACCTGTCAGTGGAAGACAGAGACTACGTGGAGCTTGGCTACAAGTCTACGTGCAGGAGTCACGGTCTGCTCCACGCCATCAAGTGCGAGCCTGCCGACTCCCCGCCTTGGCCTGACAGCCATCAGCATTTTGGCCAAGTGTTCCCACTGCGAAATGGTGTCCCAGATATGTTTATGAATGCAGTGGCCAACAAGTCAAACCCATATGTGTACATGCAATAGGTATAGCTGACTTTTCTATTTAAACCTTACAGTGTCTGTTACTATTTACACTCCGTGATGAACTAGTATCAGATCCTGAGTGTCCCGTCCTTCATGTCCTGGACTTCCTGGAATAATACCCAGACTCACTGTGACTCTACACACACAGGAGAGCACCCAGACTCACTGTGACTCTACACACACAGGAGAGCACCCCCCCTTTGCCCTTACAAGTGCCCTTTTTTGATAACCGATGGCCCCCCACCTCTGATCGCAAAAATGGAATCTGTGGGAGTTTGAGCACCGCCACCCCACCCCCCCCATCTGTGCACATCACTGCTTAACACTGTTTTAGATCAATTTCCTGTTATTTTGTTGTGTTATGGGTAAAGCTTTTGTTGTGTTAGTCATTAAGTTGCACACAGGGTAAAAATGAGCACAATACAGTGCAAGGAGACAGAGAGAGAGAGAGAGTGGGAGAGAGACAAAGAAAGACAGAAAGAGAGGGAGACTTAGAGAGAGAGAGAGACAGAGAGCGGGAGGGAGAGAGTGGGAGAGAGAAAGAGAGGGAGACTTAGAGAGAGAGAGAGACAGAGCGCGAGAGGCTTGTGGTGGTCAGATAAGGACCGTATTCTTCAAGCCAAAATGAGCCCCCCCCCCCCACCTTCCTGAAAGGCAGCTCAGCCACATACACTTACCAGTTAAAGGTCCTGCTTTATTCTGCTATGCGTGAAACGAGGTTTACAAAAACATATTATCCCCTGATTTTTACCTTTTAAATTTCAAATAAAAATAAAAAAGTTATTTTACACAAATATTTAAAATAATAGCTCCATTTTATGTACGTCCTTCAGGATTCACCGGGTAATCACGCTGAGCTTATTCCCATTACTGATACTGGTTTTGGAAGATGGAGACCAGTACCCGCTCAGAGGAAAACGAAAGACGTCCAAATGAAGGTATCGACGGACAGCGCCCAGTATGACTGTGTGACACTGGGAGTCGGGCGTCACTGCGCGGCAGAGTCGGGCGTCACTGCGCGGCCGTCACCGGCCACTGGATGTGCCTTAATATTTTGGAAACAGATTGTGAAAAATGTATTAGAATAAAACAAATATGTTAGTGCTTAATTTGACTATCTGTGTGAGGAATAGTATGAGGGAAGGAGTGTGAAATGTTCTATACTGTATGGATCTGATTCGGTGTTGCCAGATCATTACTGGTGTGAATTTTTAAGCTGTGCTTGAGAGTTAACATCTGATATAGAAGTCGATTTATTGTGCATTACAGCCAGATGTCTTTGCACTTTCAATTTGGGTCATTGCCTTCATTTATAGGCTGGCTAATATCCATTTGGTATTCTTTTTTTGTAGACAGTAAAGTCATGTAGAAATTAATAATATATATCTACATTGTCATATTTATTGTCACCAAGAGCAGACCTGTATGTGTAAATGGACTGCTTTAGGGAAATGTGCTTTGGTTTATTTTCTGTAGTACATAAGAAAGCATCAGCAGGAAAAGCTCACTGGCTCTTGGCCGATTTTGTAGCTGCGAAGCAGCCAATGTCTATTTCAGCATTTTCTCTACGTTTTTCTGTGTATTTTCATAAATTTGGGGTAATAATAAAAATACAAACTTTCCTTAAATGTGTCATTTTTTCTTTACATCTGTGTTTACATGTGCAGGACGGGGCCAGATCGTGGCCTCTGGCAGTCAGCTTGTGTTGTGTTTGAAGGTCATACTGTTTAGCTTGCACTATAAATGTTGCGCCTTGAGGCCCTAGAGCTCACTAACGGGCTTAATTCCTACAGTGCATTAAAGGTCTTTTTACATAGCAAGCCACTTGCATTGTTTATTGCTGGTGTTTGCTAAATATGACACATACCAGGTCCTAGAACTTTATTCCATTACTTTGTTGTTTCTGAACCATGGCTTTGGCACTCTGCTGTTGCTAGGTAAACACTTAATTACTAAGCGTTAACAGAAATGTATTTAAATGATACTTTCTACATTAATACTAATAAACAGTTCAGCTCTAATGAAAACCATGTATCGTGAGAGCAGGACACGCAATTAAATGCTCTACTTCTATCTGTATTGACATATTTGAATTTTAAAGTTTTACGATGTCGTGTTTTATATATACTGTTTTTGCCGTTTAAAATACTGAAATGCCAATGCGCTTGCATCGTGCTTACAGTATCGTTAACGTGCGCATGCGGGTGATGTGAAAACTACAAATCCCATAATGCAGCCGGTCTGATCAGCCTGCAGCGGTCAGCTGCTGCCGCTCTCGGGCGCTGCAGAAGACATCAACCACCGGGGACGGCTTCTCTCCGCTATTATATAATACGTAACTGTTCCCCCAATGTTTTCAGTGAATTGTTGATAAAATCGGATTATTTTGCACAGGTAGGATTATAATATTGTCTTTTTATTAAGGTTTCTTGTCTAAGAGAAAATGCATTGCTGCCTGTAACGAGGCCCTATTTTTATTATGCTGTGACTGTTATATTTAGTGTTTTTGTAATTAAGTAGCCGCCAGTGACATGCACGAAATGCAAATAATGAATTGGGATAGTATTAGTCAGCTGTTTACATAGTGCGGTATGCCATACGCTAGATAAGCGGTAACTGCGGAAATTATACAGAGACACTGTAACCGCAACTGGATGGCGGCGTTAGACACAATGCGGTTTGAATACGTCGTTTATTTATCGGTTGGCTTTATGGATATAAAAGAATAGTATTCGCGTCTATGGCTAAATCGAGTAGGCGAGGTGGCACGTAGGTCTCAGTGAGCATCGGAGGTTATGTAGGTCAGTGAGGCTGGAAATAGGCGCGGGGCAGAAACCGCTATGCGGTGTGATGTCACAGGGATCGGCACCGGCGCGTGGCTACAGTGTCCGCTAGGCCGTGTGACGTCACATGGATCGGCTCCGGCTCGTGGCTCCAGTGTCCGCGAGATGCCGCGAGCGCAGCCCCAGCTTGGGTTATTCCATTTGTCATTTAAAATGGCAAAATTAATCATTCAGTAATGCAATGCTGTCACATCAAGACCTGACTTACTGAGCTTTAATTTGTTTGCTTTAAAAACTAGCAAGCAAATTTGGCCGTTTAAACACAATTTTGCCAATTTTGATTGCAGTACGCGACGGTAATTCAACCATAAGAATTACCTTTGTCCCTTATATTACATTAACCGTTTGGGCGTGTGTAATAAAATAAAACGAGCTCTGATTAATTTTAACGAATAAAGCCGGCAGTTATGTAAATTGTCTCCTTTAACGTTAGTTATAACTGTAAGTAAAATAAACGCCTTAAACTTAACTCTTAGCATAATTTAGACTTCTCTTTTAAAAATGAACTGTTTTGCTTAGCTGTCTTATTGAATGATTCTTCTTGTTGGTTTCAGCTCGCTGTCGCCATGGAGGAGACTGACCGTGAGGCCGTTGCCACGGCGGTACAGAGAGTCGCCGGCATGCTGCAGCGCTCAGATCAGCTGGACAAAGTGGAGCAGTACAGGAGGCGGGAGGCCAGGAAGAAGGCGTCGGTGGAGGCCAGGCTGAAGGTAGGTGGGGCTCAGCCCTCCTTCACGTCGCTGCCTCGCTTATTTATCTTATTTATTGACAGACATAAACAAATGTACATGAAGTGCAAACAAAGTTCAGTGGTGTGTTGTGAGTGGAGCAGGGTGTAGCAGTCAGGGAAACAGGTGTAGGTTGGTGTAGCAGGTCAGATGTTTGTAAGGGTGATGGCTCAAGGGAAGAAACTGTTCCTGTGGGGACTGGTCCTGGTCTGCCAGAAGGGAGGAGATCAAAGAGACTGTCCAGGGTGTGATGGGCCAGTGATGATTTTTCCTGCCCTTTTCCTGGTTCTAGAAGTGTACAGGCAGGGGGGCACCGATGATCCATTCGGCTTATAAGTTGTTAAGTTGTATAATATGCACATTATACTTTTCTTTCTCTATAGTTATGTTGTACAGACATACGCCATATCCACTCTGCTGGCAGGTACTTGCTGTAATGGGTGTAGAAGAATTTTCTGGAAGTAATGTTGCATGTGTCTTTTGTGGCCAGCCCTGCTGTTTTCCTCAGCACGCACAATGCTCGGTTTAGTGTGATGGATCTTGTAAGCCTTCCAGTACTGTTGCGGTCTGGTCCCAGTTGCTGTGCGTGACAGCGGCCCTTTGTGCTGTCCCATTCCCAGCTGCTGGGTGTGTCACTCACTCGCTTTGAGAACAGAGTGTGATACAGGCAGCCCTGAACCTTGTTATTCTCTTGACTGCAGTGTAGGCTCTACTGCTCTTACTGCAGATCACCGCCAGGGCTTGGCTGCAGTGTTCAGTGTTCAGTGTTCATCTGTATAAAAACTGCTGGATGAAACAGAATGTCACTGTTTCCACAGACCAGGTATAGATCGGGTATAGATAGGCTGTACGGCTCGGGTAGCGACATGTACCGCCTGCCGTATGTGTACGTACCTCACGTACTTTACAACGGTCCCCGATTTTTACCACTTTCTTCTACAGCATTTTGTTTCTTTGACAAGTTATCTGGCTAAGCAAGAAATCCTGCTTCACGATACGGACCCCAGTTCTTCTCTCAATAAAACGACCACCGTAGTTTGCTGTAAATGCAGACGATATGGTTTGCCGTAAAATGGCGGGGTGAACCGACGGGGCCGTGGCGGAACGCGGTGTACGTGTGCCTGAGCATTCTGCGCATGCGCAGACCTGCGAGGTGTAAATCAGGCAGGCGGGACAGATCGGCCATGACAACACTGACTCTTCAGCTCCAGGACTTATCTTTTTAATTATTTCTGTCATATCTGCCCTGTACAATTTTTGTACACAAAGCTTAAAATGCCAATGCAATTTTTATTTATATATTCCAGTATTTAATGCCAATAAATAGTTTCTTTATAAGGTGTATGTATGCGTATAATTAAACTATGATTAGGCTAACCATATAATAGTATTATAAAATGAACAAAGACAATTTGTTAATCGCAATTATTTGCATGACCACAAATAGTTGTCAACTAAAATGTAATGATCGTGATACCCCTCTATGTATCTAAACACTGAATATGTTCCTGTGAATGCATTGATGGCCCGGTTCCTTATCCATCAGTAATGAAGGATCAGCGGTGGCATTTCGTGGTCATGTGACTCTGACACCGTGGTTGATCTCCCTTTGGATGGCAGTGGGTGAGAGCAGACTGCACTGGTTATAGGGGGAAAGGGATTGCAGAGATCTGGGCTTGTGCATTTTCTGTGAAGGCGCAGTTCACCGCATTCTCACAGTAGGATCTCATCCCCGTTCCTCCTCTGTCAGGCGGCCATCCAGTCCCAGCTGGACGGGGTCCGAACAGGCCTCCTCCAGCTCCACAATGCCCTGAACGAAGTCAAAGCCATCCAGGGCTCCCTGGCCGACGTCAGCAAGGACTGGAGACAAAGCATCAACACCATCGAGAACCTGAAGGACGTGAAGGAGGCGGTGGTGCAGCACAGCCAGCTGGCGTCGGCTGTGGAGAACCTGAAGAACATCTTCTCAGGTGGCGTACTGGGCCGGTCTTTATGGGACGGGTGGGGGTTTCCGCGACAGCACACCTTAAACTCACTTACAGAAGGTCTCTTGATCTTCGGTTGCACTGTGGTGTAGAAACACTGAGGACTGCAGATGTGCACGTAAGACCTTTTTCATTTCACCGTGGCGCAAAGGGGGTCCTGCTGAACTGGGTGGCGGATGAGCTGCTGATGGGATAGTAGGCAGTACAGAGATGCCAGTGGCTTGCACTGGGGAGCAGGGTCACAGATCCACTCTGGATGATGTACGGTGATTGTAGCAGTAGTTTTTCACAGTTTTGGTATCTTTGTATCTTTCTGAAACCAGAACCCTTAATCACGGATTGCTGCATGCGATGTTAATGAACTTCATGAAATGTTTCCTGTTTCAATATTTCTTGGAAGATTTGCTATGACACCTGCAACATAACATTTCATCCACAGACTATCTTTCATAAAGAGTTTTATACTTTGATATTATTTGTAATATTTTATAATCTGTAGTATTTTAGTATGATTTACTGCACATAACTGATTCTGTGTAAGTTAACAGTCTTTGCTTAATGCCCCTAAGACCTGGCCTGTTGCTTTAGAGGAAAATGCTGAAGCAGCCTTGATGTTTGGGTGTTAAGTTCTCATAAAGCAGCCCAGTGTTCAGGTCCCCATTTACCTGCAATGTGGTTGTTAGTATGTAGCAGTACTACAGTGACACGGAACAATCCGCGGCTAATTGCACAGAAATGATTTGTATTGTTTCTAAATTCTGACTCCAGCTTATTTCACAACCATTGGAGTGTAACCATAGTATCAAACCCACCTTTGCTTAGAGTTTGACTGAGGAGCTGCTGACCTCTACTACAGCTCTGCTCACACAAGCTGCTTTTTACTCATTACCTTCTGAATTTTGTAAATTCTCTATCCATTACATCGTGGGTTTCCAAACCTTTCAGCCTATGACTCCGAAAATGACAGTGCCAGAGACCCGTGACCCCCACTTTGCTCCATGAAAGATTGGGGGAGGGAGGGTCCTCCTTGGTAAATTTATCACAATTGGCTCTCTCCCGCCGTAATGCAGGAGCGATGGACGCTCTCTCCCGCCGTAAAGCCCAGGCGATGGACGCTCTCTCCCGCCGTAATGCCGGGCGATGGACGCTCTGTCCCGCCGTAATGCCGGGTGATGGACGCTCTCTCCCGCCGTAAAGCCGGGGCGATGGACGCTCTCTCCCGCCGTAATGCCGGGCGATGGACGCTCTCTCCCGCCGTAATGCCCGGGCGATGGACGCTCTCTCCCGCCGTAAAGCCCGGGCGATGGATGCTCTCTCCCGCCGTAAAGCCCGGGCGATGGACGCTCTCTCCCGCCTTAATCTTGCTCCCTTTGATACTCGTTTTGAGTCTCCTCCTTCCTGCCCTGTCTGCTTCCTTCTCTGGTTCCTCTCGCTCTTTCAGCTGCTTGCGTCAGCCCCGTTCCTGTGCCCGCTGTAGGCGGGTGTAGGCGAGCCGGCCGGCTTGACAGCGCTCCCGCTGCCTCAGGCGATGCACATTCAGAATGTTCCGCCGTTGCTGCTCTGAGAAACTCTCTTGGTGGGGCACCAATGCTTCATTGTAAACATTACGTGACCGTTTTGCGTAAGGAAACGGGGGGTTAATTCTAATTGTTACGGCTTAATTCGACCCCTGAAATAAATCACCAATAGATGTCGGAATGAGCCTGGCAGCTGCTGAATTGTTTATCCTGCTGTGGAGGAAAGAGCGGACCACCCTGTCCGGGACCGGCAAGCAAGTCCTCAGCATGAAAATGGCAACCAGTGGGGTCCGAATCGCTGAATTAAGTAACAGCACGGGCTTGACATCTGGCTTTCCTGGGCTCCGGTTAAGCAAACGGAAAATGTGTCACCCTAGAAAACGGGTACTGTGCCCTTTAAGGAGAAAACCGGCACTCCGGATGGCTCCGTAATCCGCTCACGGTCGTGATGGGCCGCCGATACCCTGAAGGGGTTTGGGCAGGCTCTGCCGGGGTCGCCTCTGTGCTGCCTTCATCCACGGCTCGTCCTGCTGCAGAGGAGGGGTGCTGAGCTGCAGCCCTCCTCACATCTGGAGATGTGACCCCAGGTGTGGCTGGTTGTTGGCTTCGGTTAGGTACTTACTGATATGTATTGAATGACAGGTGTGGACCAGCAGGTATTGAGGCCTGGAATTCACCACTTCAGTCCCGTTTTCCGAACAGGTTTGAGATCCTGCATGTGATGTGAAACATAAAGCTTCTTGTTGACCCTTCTCCTCACCCCTCTCCTGCAGTGCCCGAGATTGTGCAGGAGACCCAGGAGTTGATCGAGCAAGCCCAGCTGCTGCAGGCCCACCGCAGGCTCATGGACCTGGAGTGCTCTCGCGACGACCTCATGTACGAGCAGTACCGCGTGGACAGCAAGAACGTGCACGACATGAACCTGATCCGCAGCTACTTTGACGAGGTACAGGTGCTCTCTGAGGAGCTGGGCAAGCAGCTGTGGATGGTGCTGCAGCGCGCCATAGTGACGGTGAGGCGCGACCCCACCATGCTGGTGTCGGCCGTGCGCATCATCGAGCGCGAGGAGAAGGTGGACCGCCGCATGCTGGACCGCGAGCGGCAGACCGGCTTCCTGCCCCCGGGGCGGCCCAAACGCTGGAAGGAGCGCATGTTCGCGGTGTTGGAGGGCACGGTGAGCGTGCGCATCGAGAGCACGCAGGCCGAGACCCGCGAGCTCGACAAGATGTGGCTGGTGCGGCTGCTGGAGATCACGCGCAAATACGTGCTGGATGACCTGCTGGTGGTGAAGAACCTGATGGTGCAGTGCTTCCCTCCGCATTACAACACGTTCCGCATCTTCTTCGACCTGTACCACCATGCCGTCTCGGTGAGGGTGCAGGAGCTGGCCGCCGAGGAGCTGGAGGCCAATGAGATTGTCACTCTGCTCACCTGGGTGCTCAACACGTACAGCAGGTATTTGGGTTCCGCCCTGCCTGATCCCTGCTGCTGCTGACGTAGCTCTTCACTGGTTTGCTGAAGTAGGTCTTCACTGGTTTGCTGAAGTAGGTCTTCACTGGTTTGCTGAAGTGGGTCTTCACTAGTTTGCTGAAGTAGGTCTTTACATTCAGTCCTTTTTGCTTGCTTCATAAAAATAAACCCACCAAAGCACTCTGCAGGTATTTAAGGGAGTGTTTATTTTATATATGAATATTAAGCAGAACAACCACCGTCTGCCTTCGGAACAGGAGCTTGGAATGTTGTCACGTGACTCTGGAAGTGTGGCAGGGGCTCTCAGGCCGATCTGCGTGAAATTACGGTCGGTGGAAATGGTGGCGGTGAGCGGCTGCAGGTTGGGCGCCCGAGGCGGCGCTCTCTTCAGCGCGATGAGCGTCCGCCTCATTCCCGTCTTGTGCTGCTGGTCGGACTTTGTGTTTCTCACGCGGTCCAGGCGACCCCTCCTTCCTTAGTTTTTCAGATGAGCCTCTTTTCTGCAGATTTGTTTGTCTGCATTAAAAGTTTGGTTGTAGGACTTTAAATCACAGTAATTTATAACACAATTTATGATTCTTTGTTGTGTTTACTCGGTTGTACTAATTCAGTAATTGTAGAGGTTAACCAGGGATTACTGGGGGATCAGTGCAGTAAATCCAAGCTTAGGAAGGCGTGATCCTGACTCCTGATCCATGCATGCTGGAATAGAAAGCCTACGGCCAGGCACGGGCCTGTCCTGGGTCCCCAACTGTCCTTTGGGCCATGAACACCCTGTTTTTGCAGCGAGGAAATGATGGGCGACCCCGAACTGGCCACCGAGTGCGACATCAACCAGTTGGAGCCCTTGCTGACTCAGGACGTTGTAGACGAGCTGCTCAGCAAGTACATCCAGACCATCACCGTGAGTCCAAGTTCCCCGTGTGTCACCATAACCAGTGGAGGTCAGATTAATTCAGGCTTGGTGAGGCCTTTGGTGATTGGCCGATATTTCCACAAGACTCTAGTCCTGAATTAGGTTTACGTGGATAGTTGTGTTTTACCATCACTCTGGCACTGAGCGTCTGTCTGTCCGGCTTTGCCGTCCCAGTCGAACATCACAGGCTGGCTTGGCAAAGCCCTGGAGACCGACAGGAAAGACTGGCAGAAGGACACAGAACCCGAAGCCGACCAGGACGGCTACTACCAGACCTCGCTCCCTGCCATCGTCTTCCAGGTACGCCGCCGCCTCGCCGGCCGGCGCCGGAGCATCGGACCCAGACCAGGCGCTGACGCTTACACAGACCCGCCGTGTCCCCCTAGATGTTCGAGCAGAATCTGCAGGTGGCCGCCCAGATAAACAAGACATTCAAGGAGCAGGTGCTGCATCTGTGCCTGAAGCAGATGGGCTCCTTCCTCCTAAGGTGAGGGGGCCTGGAGGGGGGGTTAGCGTTTGGGGGGGGG